TGTCTTGGCTTTCCATGCCTTTTTACACCTCCCTTTCTTCATGTGTTCAATACTTTTTCCCTGTGCCATTCCACATTATTACAAATAACTTATTTCTGGACATTTATGGTTTGATTTCTTTGTATGTATGGGTCACTTAGGTTGTTACAAACATCTGGTGAAAATTTCATGTCATTAGCACCTCTAGTAATATATTTACTGAGAAAAATGGTGACGTGTTCAATACTTATTTTAGCCGCTATATATAGAAAATTATGTTTCCATATGCTAAAATCTTAATGAACCCTGTGGGGAGTGATGAGGACTAAATTTAAGAAAACAAAGATAGTTGTTTATTACTTGTTTGACTATTCCAACACTGAACGTAAAATAAGTTTGAAGCATTTTAGTACAAGTTGACAGTACACGCAGAAATAACTCTAGTTTTCTGTTTTCTCGGCTGCACTGGTTGAAACCTCCCTCAGGGTTCAAATAATCAACTGCAGGTCGACTGACATCATTTCGTGTTAATTTCTCTTATTCTCTGCCCATCTGTCAGATGTTCACCTCTCCTCCTGTGGTTTTCCATCTCAGTACTTGTTCTTTGAATCTTTATGTATCTGGTGTTTCTGTGCCTAGGGTGATCCTTTTAATTAACTCGTGGATCTTGTTAACATTTACTGCTGAAAGAGGGGAAAAAAGAGCAACGAGATATGAATACATCAGTGACTCCGCTGAGCGCCTTCAGACAGAAAGATGAGTGACAATGTGAGCAACACGGCTGATAAAACAATGTCAAGGCTTTTAGACATCTGTAGATGTCTGCTCGCTTCTGCGCCAAACGTCTCGAGAGATTAAAAAACAGCATTTAAAGAACTGGTGACTGGATGGAACAGCTCTTTCTTTTTTTTTTAAATATGAGAAAATTTTCCACAGAGGAAAAGAAACAGTTTGGGAACCACTTCTGTGTTTGCTTCAGTCTTTAGGTTTTCCATTTCAAAATAAAATGGCAAAAATAAAACAATCTTTCTGTTTTCAAAGCCTAAATGTAAAACTGAACTAATTAAAAATCCAGTGTTATGATGTTTGCTTCAGCTATTTAAATCCTAAATAAAATATATGGATGATGTTTTAATTTGTAGTGATACTGGGACTGACAGAAGAGTTTATAGTGGCTGAAGACTGTTAGAAAACAGAAAGTGAGCCCAAAGATCTTGGCAATGACTGCACTGGAACACTACAGTGCAGAACTTGGACTATTAAAACTATTCTGATCACAATAAAATAGCTCTCAAGTATGGAGAGCCATTTTCTTTCAAAATATTATAAATAAATAAATAAATAAATAATGTAACATTTAAATGATAAATAAATAAATAATATAAAGACATGCTAAAAACAATTTTGTTTTACTTCATGGGGACATTTAGGTATTTGATGGAATTTGTAGTAATACTTTATCTATCTATCTATCATCTATCTATCTTTTAATTTATTTAATTTTGAAAGAAAGGGCTCTCCATACTTAAGATGTGTTGACTCCTTCTAAATAAGAGCATTTCTGAAGCGCTCAGTGAAAACCTCCGGCTCCAGGAGTTCAGGCCACGTTGATCTGGTTCTGCCAGAAAGTAAYAAATGTGCACTATCAACATATGAAGGTTGTCTTTGCTTAAACCAATACAATAAAATAATTCAAAATAATAAAAAACTTTTTCTGTTTTCTTGTTTAGCATTTAAAAAAAAAGAAAAACAACTCCAGATTATTCGTTTTTTTCCCCTCATTTTATTTTGAAAAGAAAAACCAAAAAAAGAACCATGCACAGATATTATGTGCAAGGTTTTATTTCTTTCATTTGTTTCAAATATTTCTTCTTTCTGCTGCCTTTCATTGGATTTGTGATTTGTATTTGTTGTGTACAGTGTTTTTTATAAAAATGAATAAATTTACTAAAAATATAATTGTATGAGTCTAGTTTAATGCAGGGAGTCTCAAACGTTTTGGTGAAAAACGTCCAGGGTCTCCGTCATATATCTCACGCTGATTTTAAAAATTATTTACCAATCCTCATTTTAACCCCTAAATCTCATGGTATTGTTAATTTTTGTTTGGTTTACGATTTTATGAGTGCATTGTTCCCCGTATGCATGCATCTATTTAAAATATAAATAATTTGAAATTTTTTGAGGACCCCCAAGGTACGGGTCGCAGACTTCCGGGGGGGTCTGGGACCGCAGTTTGCAAACCTCTGGTCTAATGGTCATTAAAAAAAGAACAGCCTGACTCCTAAAAAAACCCTCTGAATTCTTAACTAAAGGCAACAAACAATTCAAACTTCAAGATTGTTTTACATTAAACTGAAAAACGACTGTAAAACTAGAAAAGTGAGGTTTATAAAGTATTTATATTTATCTTAAGAGGAAAGGAAATCATTGCAAACCCATTTAGACTAATAGCTTAGATTTAATTCTGATCTATTTCACTACAATAAACAACTCAGTATTTAAACAATTACAAACAAATGTTGGTTCTTTGTTGCCCTCAGCTGTCTTTAAAATATTTTACTCTAATATGAAAATGACCGTGGTTGGCTGGTGCACACTCACTCAGACAGCACCGGTCTGTTTGCCAGACTCTCCTAAACTCTGTGAGAGAGCTGAAGAACCTCTGTAAACATCTGTAGGTGTGTGTTTGTGCTCTCATACTCTTCCTCCTCTTCTGCGATGCTTTTCTTCCCTCCCAGCTGTCGTTTCCTCATCTCGGCGAGCATGGCCTGGACGTCCTCCTTCATCTCGCTCAGGCTTCTGTCTGGAGCTCCATCTTTCCGGGAGAGGGTCTGGTTCAACTCGGCAGCCTTGGATTGAAGGTCTAGATGCAGAGGAGCATGCAGAGAGACAGCTGTGAGACGCTGTCGATACACAGATTGAGTTCATGCGGCTGCAGTCACACAAACAATAGGAAGAGAAAAAAACTACTTTTCTTTTATTTTCACTGAAAAGCAGAAACACTTTGTATTCATGAACTGGAAAAAAATGTAGAAATGTGTGATTTTAGGGTCCTTCAGATATCTTTAAAAGGATCCCTGATTAGTTGTAACATTAGACTTTATTTGATAAACATTTATTTTAACTGTAAAATAAAGACTGTAAAAATACTGTAGGCTGTTTAGTTTGGTAAATCTTTAAAAATATATTTTAACA